GGGCCTGGAGAGGTGGCTCAGAGGGACATGGGAACCTGTGACACCACCCAGCCATGCCACTGTCACTCTCTCCAAAGAGACTCTTCCAGAACTTCAAATTAAGATTCCCCCTGTGTTTTTCATCTCTCCCAAGGCTGTCACCACATCCCAGAATGTCCCAGAGGCACCAGCCAGGTCACTCTGGTGAAACCAACTTGACTTCTGATTCATCAGAACATTCCCTATTTTCRCTCCCATCAATAATTTGACATCCAGGAGTGGCTTTTCCCCCCTCTCGTGGTAGCCTGGAGTTATTTTTCCAGCTGCTCCTCTCATTAGTGCACCAAGAGCTCATTTTATTCCTCAGATAAAAATCCCAACGAAACAATTTGTGACACTTCAGTCACACATTCATCTCTTTTATGGCAACCCCTGCTGAAGGAGGAAGGATCCCACATTCCATGTGCCATTTCTTGGTGTTTTTGTCAGCCTTGCTGCCAACTGGAAGAATTTACAAATAATTCCCTTTCCAGCACAGAAATATATAAAATATTTCCCTTTCCCCACCCTGGAAGAACATTCCAGGTCATTCTCCAGATTGCAGGGAGGAGCAGGGGCACCTCGTATGGTTTGCATCCATGAAATGCAGAATTGTGGCTAAAAATYAAGGAAATCCATAGGATAAAAGTCRGATTTGACCTCTGGAGGTGTTTCCAGACCTAAAAATTGGGCTCTGGAGAGGTGCTCAGCTACACCAGCAGCCCCTGTGGGAGCAGCCCCACCCCACTTCCAGTGGGGTGGAAACGAAGTTTTGGGGTAATGCAAATCTGCTGCTCTGGAATGATGGAACCCCCATCCCTCACCTCCCTTTCCTTCCTGAAAAGGGACATTTCTGCCCAGCAAATCTCTTTTCCCTCTGTCCCATTCCAGCAGAGCCACAGCATCTCCTGGTGGTCCATTAAAGGGGGGTTCTGAGGATTTATTGGGATTTCTCTGGGGACCTTGGGACATTCCAAGGAGAATCCCATTTTTCTCCGTCACTGAGGGGGGTTTTGTGCTCACTGTACAGTTTTCCCCTGTGGCAGCTGGGTGAAGCAGAATCGCAAAATCATGGAATTCCTGGAGCTGGGAGGGACCCTCAGGGTTCAGGGAATCCAACTGCTGCCCTGCACATTATCCCAACAATCCCAGCTGGGTCCAGAAGGGCTGCCCAAACCCTCACACAGCTTTGGGAGAAACGTTGGAGAAGGGATTTGTAGGGACATAGAGGAGCCCCAGCCCTGCTGCTCCCCTGCCTCCAGGGAGGAGTGGTGGGAATGGGATATTCCCGGGAAATCGAGGCAGTTGGGAAGGCTGGTGCCGTGTCCCTGTGCTGGCAGCCATGGAGCCATTGGAGGTGACACCTGGGAAGGGGTCCTGGCCCGAATCCCAGCTGTGCCAGGGCCACTGTCACCCAATTCCAGCAGTGTTTTTCCCCTAATCCCATTCTGCCCCCAAAAGTGATGAATGATGGACCATCCTTTCCTTCCTGCTCAGGGGGAGCTTTGGGACTGTCACGGAGCAGCTGGACATGGTGGCCCTGGGAGCAGCTGTCCCTGTGCCACTCCTGTGCCATCTCCTGTGCCATCCCTGTGTCACTCCCTGTGCCATCCTGTGCCACCCCTGTGCCATTCCCTGTGCCATCCCCTGTGCCATTCTTGGTGTCATTCCCTGTGTCACTCCCTGTATCATCCCTGTGCCATGCCTATGCCATTCCCTGTGCCATCTCCTGTGCCATCCCTGTGTCACTCCCTGTGCCATCCTGTGCCACCCCTGTGCCATTCCCTGTGCCATCCCCTGTGCCATTCTTGGTGTCATTCCCTGTGTCACTCCCTGTATCATCCCTGTGCCATGCCTATGCCATTCCCTGTGCCATCCCCTGTGCCATCCCTGTGTCATTCTTGGTGCCATTCCCTGGGTCACTCCCTGTGCCATCCCCTGTGTCACTGCCCGCCTCGATGGCAGGAGGTGACRCCAGCTGTGGAATGTCCTGTCAGGTCCCTTCACTCCCAGCCCCAGCACCCAGTGCTGCTGCTCCTGTGCCATCCCCTGTCCATCGTGGCATTCCTGGTCCCTCTATCCCATTCCCGCAGCAAACAGGGGACATTGGCCCAGCCCAGCCCAGCCCAGCCCAACCCAGCTGCAATTCCTGATGGCCTCCAGTGAACGGGTCCCTCTGCCATGCTGGAATTGCTGGAATTGCTGATGAAGGCTGGATCCTGGGGTGCCTCAGGCTGGCTCCAAGCCCACCCAAAACCCTGCCAATCCCCCGAGTTCATTCCCAGGCGCTGGGCAGGTTTTTGGGAAGAAGGGAAMGATGTCTGGCTGCTCCAGCTGCCGTCACACCGTAACTCACGGCACCGTGTGCCGAGGGCTCCATCCCCACCCCCCCACCTTTCCTGATGGCTGCAGACTCCTGAGGATGACCTTTATCCATCCAAGCTTCCAATGCTATAAAAAAATCCTGGAAAAACTCAGCAGCCCTCCCCAGGAATGTATGGGAAGGGGGTGAGTGCTGGGAGCACTGGGCACAACTGGAATCTCTGGCTCTGAGCCCTGCTCCTGAAGGATTCCCAGTGGGAGAGGAAGCTGCTGGTTCTCACTCTGTATTCCAAGTGAAATCCCAGGAAAAGATGAAGAATCCATCAGAGAAAAAGCAGCCACAATAATATTAATTCAAGCTGTGGAGCACTAATTCAATTTGCAGACAAGGTAAATCTTGCCCAGAACATTCCCCCCTTCACTTAGTGCCTCAGGAATTTCCCATTCCCTGGCTTTTTTTAATCCCACTTGACCTTCCCSTGGCACAGCTTCTGTTCAGCCCCCAAACTCCAGCACTGCACCAGKACAACCAGTTTGGAGCTGCTGGGATCAGCTCCCAGCGCCGCAGGAAGCAGACCGAGCTCTCTGGAAAGCCTCAGCAGGAATTTCCCAATTCCATCTGCAGCTCCACGTTTAAGCCCAGCTCTGTCCATGCCAGGAGTGTGCACGGAGCAAAGTCTGGCAGCCCGGGAGCCGGGGAAGGGCTGGAGATGAATCAGAACCAGGAGCCAAGTCCCCAGCACTCTTTTTTCCAAAAAAGCTCTGATTTTCGGGAAAAGCCCCCAGGAGCTGGCGCCACACTGAGCCTGGCTTTGCCAAAGCTGGGGACAATTCCCTCTCTGCAGGGAAGGCTGGCACAGGAGAGCAAGGGGCAAACAACAACTTCTGGACAAAACACTCCTCAAAGTGATGGATTCTTTTTCTTTTCCCTTTTTTTTATGGAATGAGATCATTCCCACTACTGATCCCCTCTCCCTGCCAGGTTTTCCAGCCCTGGACACCCTGGGCAGGCTGAGGGCTCTGCCTGCCTTGGGGACAATGTCCTGGCCTCTCCCAGGGACATCGGGGATGCCCAGGGGGGCAGGAGAATTTCACTGCCCCATCTCCCCCGGGCTCTGTTCCCCAGTCTCCCCAAGGATTCTGGAGTCCCTCTGGCTCTCCAAGGATCCCTGCAGAGCCAGGGCTGCTCTCAGCCCCTGCTCTGGCAGGATTTCAGAGTTTCCACCCCGGGACAACCCCAGGACAGGGCTGGATCTGCACCCCAGCTCTGGCAGGATTTCAGAGTTTCCACCTTGGGATAATCCTGAGAAAAGGCTGGATCTTCACCCCAGCTTCCCTGAATGCTCCAGGGAGGAGGCAAATCTCCCCTCCTGCCCTGCCAAGGACATTTTAAAGGCTCAGCTCTGACTGAGCTCTGCAGCAGCCCTGGCTCCTTCATCCCGATCCTGCATTTCAGTCTCCCACCATCCCGATCCCCCATTTCCCTCTCCCACCATTCTGATCCTGCATTTCCCTCTCCCCCATCCCGATCCTGCATTTCCCTCTCCCACCATCCTGCATTTCCCTCTCCCACCATCCCGATCCCAACATCCCATCCCCTCGCTAATGGGGGTTCTGTTGTTTTATTCCCGCATTAATTATTTGATGAGCAGCCCCAGCAGGACTGGGGTCGGGATGATTCCCCTCCTCAGAATYCCTCATTCCAGAGCAATCCGCACCTCCCAGAGCAGTTCCCACCCCGCAGCTCTGACCTGCGGGACCGGGCAGCTCTGCCGGGCAGGGAATTCTGCTCCTCGCCCAGGAAGGGGCACYGGGCAGCCCAGGAATGCAGAGGGGAAGGTCCAGACAGCCTGGTGCAGATTATCCGTGCAGGGTGGGGTTGTTGGGGTGTCTGTGAGGGGCCAGGAGCTGCCCTGGCTGATCCCTGTGGTCCCTCCCAGCCCAGGGTGTTCCGTGATGGCGATGGCACCCAAGGAATTGATGAAGGGCACCTCAATTCCATCGCCCTCAGCCTGGCACGGCTCCTGATACCTTTGTTTCACTTTTTACCTGTGGGATGTCCCCCTACAGGCTGGGACAGCCCCTCTCTGCCCGTGTGAGGGGAGAACAAGCTTCTCCCGAGGGACAGCTCTGATCTCTGCTCTGGGACAGGGACAGGGCCCAGGGAGTGTCTCGAGCTGTGCCAGGGGGTTTAGGTTGGAAATCAGGGGAAAGTTCTGTCCCCAGAGGGTGCTGGCACTGCCCAGGCTCCCCAGGGAAAGGTTCTTCTGTCCCCAGAGGGTGCTGGCACTGCCCAGGCTCCCCAGGGAATGGTCCCGGCCCCGAGGCTGCCAGAGCTCCAGGAGCTCCCAGGGATGAACAGGGAGGGAATTGCTGCGATCTGTGACCTTTCTGAGAGCTGCTCTGGCTTCACCCAGAGCTGCATCCCACAGGGGATGCTCCGTCCCCCTCCCATGGATCTCCTGATTCCCAGGATCACTCACAGCCCCTTCAMCTCTCGCTTCGCCCTTTCCTTTCATATGGGGAAGGCAAAGTTGCCCGGCTCTCCCCCCACCCTCCCCTGGTGTCCAGGAATTAATTATTCCACCGAGATTCGYGGCTGCCGAGCCCCAGGACAGCCCCAACCCCGCCCAAGGAGAGAGGAGCCCCTCAGCACTCACCGTCCATGTCCAGGCGCTGCATGATGATGGCCAGCTCCACCTCGCTGGGCATGTAGCCCAGGGAGCGCATGGCCATGCCCAGCTCCTGCTTGGAGATGAAGCCATTGCCGTCTCGGTCCAGCACCCGGAACGCTTCACGGATCTCTGAAAGGCAGGGACAGGGGAGGGTTGGTGTGGCCGAGGGCTCCGAGGGTGCTCCGAGCACAAAGCAGCACCCGCTGCCTTTTGCAGCGTTAATTGTGGATGTTTGATCATCCTGGCCGGGGGACCAGGACAGGTTAATGCACCCCAGTAACCCCCTGTGTACTCCCACAGCTCATGGGATTTCATGGGATTTCATGGGATTTCATGGGATCTCATGGGATTTCATGGGATCTCATGGGATTTTATGGGATTTCATGGGATTTAATGGGATCTCATGGGATTTCATGGGATCTCATGGGATTTCATGGGATCAGGGACATAAGTCATTGGGAAGGCTGGAAAAGCCCTCTGGGATCGAGTCCAGCCTGTAACCCAGCACTGTCAAGGCCACCACTGCCCCCTGTCCCCAAATGCCACACCCACAGGGCTGTTAAACCCCTCCAGGGATGGGGACTCCACCCTTTCAGTGAATAAATAATTCCCAATATTGGATAATTCCCATCCTGAGCCTCTCCTGGCCCAGCCTGGCGCCGTTTCCTCATGTCCTGTTGCTGTCTCCCTGGGCGATTTCCCTCCCTTGCTCCTTCTTACAGCTTTTCTTTAATTTATTACATTTTTACAGCACTAAACAGCCTCAGATCGATAACAAYGCTGATGGAACACAAGGAATCACTTCCATCAATCGTCCCCAGCCTGGCTCAGCTCCTGACACCTGACTTTGGTTTGTTTTTTAACTTTCAACTGCTCCAGCCTGAGACAGGCGCTCTCTGCTCATGTGAGGAGGAACACCGAGGGACAGCTCCGATCTCTGTGACAGGGACAGGAGCCAGGAAGAGGTTGGAGCTGGGCCGGGGGCGGGGTTAGGGTGGATTTTGGGAAAGGTTCTTCTGTCCCCAGAGGGTGCTGGCACTGCCCAGGCTCCCCAGGGAATGGTCCCGGCCCCGAGGCTCCAGAGCTCCAGGAGCGTTTGGACAGCGCTGCCAGGGATGCACAGGGGGGATTGTTGGGGGGTCTGGGCAGGGCTGGGGCTGGATCCATGATCCCTGTGGGTCCCTTCCAGCCCAGGATATTCTCTGATTCTGTAATCCAGCACCTCAGTGTCTCTGCCCATCTCCTGCTGTTCACAGACCTCTCACCTTGCAGCCCCAAATCTTCCTGTTGCAAATGCCAGGGACATTTGAATTTTCCATCAACTGGGAGCCCGATTYAGTGAAAGGTTTCACTTGAAAGGTTCTGGTTGGAGGTGAGGAGGGGAAGAGGTGCCAATTCCCTGGTTTTGGTGAAACAATCCCATGCCTGGAGAGGGAATCATGGGATGCTCCATCATTTCCCTCCTGGGAATGGGGATAAGRGAGCACCATGGTGCTCAACTTTGCTCAGAGGGTTTTCTCTTCAGGGAGAACTTCAGGGAGAACTGGGAGGGAAAACTCTGCAGGGTTTTTTTTTTTTTGGAAAAGAAACCCGAATTAATTTTAAAATTCTCCATTCAGGAGATGGAGGATAGAAAATGTTTGGTCCTCTCTGTAATTCAGGAAAATCTTCCCAGTCATCCATGGACAGCAGGGTCACCTCCCTCCTGTCCCCAGGGGTCAGCAGGCACCAGACCCTGCCAAGGGGCTGCAGGAAACCTTTGGATGCTGCCAGGAAAAAGTCAGAAATGGTTCTGGTGCTCTTTATTTAAGCTTTATTTCAAGCTTTATTTAAATAAAGCCAAGCTTTGTGTAAAGCTTTACCATCCAAAACCTGCTCCTAAACCACCTGAGCCCCAGGTTCAGCCCCTGCCCTGCCCCCATTTCCATGGGCTGCTTCCTGCCTGGGTGATTCCCTGGGCAAGGGCCAGGCCCCTTCCAGGACTGGCTAAGGGACAGTCCCCCCCAGGTGTGRTTTTCTCCAGCAGATAGGATCGGTTTTATCCAGCCCAGGAGCCGAGGGATGTGGGAAGGGCAGAGCCTCTTAATTCCAGGGAACATTGGCCCCATCTCTGATCTCCAAACTCTGGGCTCAGGTTTGGCCAGCTGTGACCTCCTGCAGCTGAATTCCCTTTGTTCCCTGCCAGACCCGGCTGGGGGCAGGGAAATGGGGGGAGGTTGCTCAAAGCATCGGCTCCCAATTCCAAGAGCCTTTGGATCAGGGATGAATCCCAGCAGACCCTGCCAGCTGCAGTGAAATCTCCTTTCTTGTGCTGTCCAGAGGGCCCGGGGCAGTAAATATCACATCCAAATCAATTCATGTGAAATAAACTCCTGACAGATGGAGACAGAAGAGTGGGATTCATAAGAGGGAGCTGGGACAGGATTTTAGGGAGTGAAAAGTGAGTCTGAAAAAGTTTCTGTGTGAGTGAGACTGGTCCAAATGACAGGGATAAGTGATGGGATAAATTATGGGATGAATGATTGATGGGATAAGTGACATCTGTCCTGGTGTGGAATAACCAAACATCCCGTACCTGAGGGCCTTCCCACTCCAAAAGCTGCACTCACAGGACTCTGAGCCTCGAGCAGAGCACAAACCCCCCCACATTTGGGGTTTCTGTTCCTCCCAGAGACCTGAACTTTTGGCCAAGGCTGGCRCATCCTTCCCAAATCCCCTCCCAGCCCCGGTGGAGTTTGTTCCCTGCTCTCTCTATAAATACCACTTGTGCAGAGGTAGATCAGAGCTATTTATAGGTTGAACACACAGTACAGGGAGCAGCGTGACCTCGGGCAGAGCCTCCTCTTTATCCTCCCCTGGAGCAGCTCCTCTTCCCAGGGCTCATTCCCGGGCCCTGCAGGTGCTGCCCATGCTGAGCACCCTCCCCAAACCCCACTCCAGGAGCCCGGGSCAGCACCCGGCTGCCCCTCACCTTCCCCTCCAGCTGTTCCATTTCATTACCCAAAGCTAAAAATACAGCAGCACTTTCCCCAGCTGACTTTCCCCACCAAGTCACCATGGCAACAGATGCTCCCGGCTCGGAGCTGGGAGGSGATGTGGTCCATGGAGTCAATCCCTCCACAGACACTGCCGGGGTTTGGGAGAAGYGCTGGGATCTTTCCCATTCCAGTGTCTCCACAGGGATGTTGTGCCCTGACCCAAAAAGCAGAGCCCGGTTTTGTTTAAAGGTCACGGGGGGAGGGGGTGTCGAGGTGGTGCTGCCCCAGGAGATGCCCTTTCCCTCTGCCCAGCCGGGATGGCAGCAGAGAAAACCAATCACAGGGATTACCCCTCCCTAGGARGTCAGAAATCCCAATATTTATTGCTCTTCCCTTCAGTTATTTCCAAATGCGGACAGCTRGCACTGAACTGTGTAAAAAGAGGAAAGGGGAAAAGGAGGGGAAGCAGGAAAAGGCAGAGAACGGGAAGTTCATCCAGCTCCATGGAATCACAGAATCCGGGAGGGCACCTCAAAGCTCGTCTCGTCCCTTCCTCCACCCTCCCAGGGTGGTCCGATCCAAGCCTGGCCACCCAATCATCCCGATTAACACCTCTGTTAATGATCTCCAAGAGCGAGCAGCCACCRCATGAATTAAATTCCCAAATGTCCGAGGCTGAGAGGGATTGGAAGGCTGAAAAGGAGGGAGGAAGGAACAGATCAGATTTGGGGGCAGAAGGGGCCAATCCTGAGGCTGCAGGACCAGAGCCAGGTCGGAAAGGTTTCCCGGGAAAGTTTATCCCGATGTTTYTCCCTGGGTGTGGAGATTCCTGTTCCCCAGGAGCCCCGAGCAYAGCCCTCCCTTCCCGGAGTTATTTGAGCATTCCAGAGCTGTGCAGGGAAAAGGGGGAGACGCGTTTGCTTTTAATTCATTGCCTCTCTCTCCTCCCGTAGAACAGCTGCACTTTGCAGCCTCCCGATTCCCCAGCACAAGTCCAATCAATTCCCCCTCCTCCGGGAGGAAGAACCAGCGGAAGGAGGAATTTTCATTCCCTTTCTGAAGGGCACAAACAGGGCTGGCAGAGCCGGACCTCCCACCCAGCCCGGCGTGTGCTTAACTCTGCATCTGCACCCCGAAAATCCATCCTGTCCCAATCCAGCGCTGCTCCGTCCTGACCTTCYCGCTCACCCCTTCTCCCTCCTAGCGTTTATTTCCAGATTTCCYTTTTTTTGCGTCTCCTGGATGAGGAAAAGCAACGATTCCCTGGGGAATTAACTCCGCYGGAGCCAGCACACCCCCGGGCCACCCTGGGGTGGTTTGGGGTGAAAATCCCACCCTAAAAGTGCAATTACCCCGCACCCAGCGCGCCTTGRGCGCTCAGCAATCACCTTAGCGAGATAAGAGCCGAGATAACGCCGCCCCGCATCTCCTAACACARCTCAGCCCTAAATTGCACCTTTGGGCCCCATAATGGAGGGAACGATCCAAAAGCTGCAGCAGATCGTCCTTAAGTGAACTGGGGAGTGAGGATGGAACTACTACGGCGAAAAAAAAAAATGGAAATTTCCAGCCCTCCATCTGCTATTCGTACGCTTGTTTTTTTCGGGTGGGTTTGGGGTTTTTTTTTGGCTGCAAATCGCAACAAAGTGTCAAAATAATCCCGTTTTTATCTAATGGCAACGCCCCCCTCAACGTTTCCCAGTGGAAAATGTCAAAATATTTCCCGTGGTTATTGGGAATCAGCAAAGCAGCTCAGCACCCCCGGATCGAGCTCTCACCGCACCCCGGGGCCGTGACCCCTGAGCTGCTGCAGCCTCTGGCTCCAGATCCTGCCAGCATTCCCCAGACCTGGCAGGGACAGGGCTGCTCTGAAAATTGGGAATAAAATGGGATTGAATAGTGGGTTCAGTGCTCCWGCAGCTGGGAGAGACACGGGGATCTCACAGGGACAAACCACCTGGTTCTCCTCAGCCGGGCACAACTCTGCCTCAAAACCAAGTGCCTTGACTCAGAGTTTTCTGTTTTCTACAGAATTTGGCAGATTTTTATTTCTTCCTCCCTTCCCCAGGAAAATGATTTGTGGGAAGGGCGTTTTTGGGGGTTCTGCTCCCAAACCCATTGAACACATTCAGGGAACCTGGGGAAAACCCC